TTTCATTACTTTTTGTTTTTTCTTAAAACATGTAATATAATATAATACCATACCAAATGATAAAGAATTATACTCTCTTCTAAAATACCCGACTTTGCAATTTATTATGTCATACGAGTCAAAAGCAACATGCCAATATCACTTTCTAGCTAACCCATTCAAACAAGTAGCACACCAATCTCAAATGCTAGTTGCATACTATAATGATATGAACTTGAAATCTGGGTGAAGGTTTGGCTTCATTATCATTTACAGGATTTCAAACTTGCAAAGTCACCACTCCCCTTCTTTATTACTAAAAATCTTTCTACCCATCCCACATGCTAGCCATTCAAGCAAAAAGCAACAACGATCTAAAAAACAACACTAACGTGTGCTTAACTTAAAAAAAAAAAAACGTGTGCTTAATTATATGTAAGTTCATTCGGTTTGGCTTGGGCCTACTTATGGGCCTGGGATGGCTTCAGAAATTTGGATTGAATTCTCAATCATGTGCCTGTGCTCTTATAACCTTAGGCTAATAGAAAATTTAACAGCAAGCCCAAAACAAATATAAGAAATTAACACATGAAAAAATAAAATTCAAACCAATTCAAAGAAGTAGACTCCACAACCCAAAGAGGAACATATTTTGTATGCAGTAATACATCCAGCTTGGGAGAAATCAAGAATTAGAGATTAGGAGAAGGCATTAGAGTTCAAAGTTTTTCCAGATTCTGCGGAACAACGACTTCACCGCACGCAACATTTCTAATTGGGAGTCATCCACTCCGCAGCCTGCCACAACCAAAGAGGATGTTAACCAACTTACTATTTCCTGTCTATACTCGCCGTAATGTTGTCACTCAATTCAGTCGGACTGCGGGCGTTCAAATATTTGTCTTTTTTTTTTTTTACAAAAGGTAATCTTGTATTGATTCAAGAAGAGATAATTACATCCTGGAAACCAGCCAGACCTGGAAATCAAAAACACGACTCGTAGTCGGAGACAAAGAAAGGGCCTTCCTAGCCACCCTATGGGCTACCCTATTGTTATTCCGACCTACAAACCGCACACCCAACCCCGGATTAGAATGAAAATAGTGTAAAACTTCTTCCAGAATAGCTCCCATCCGGTTATCACTTGTCTGCCGCAAAATAATCTTATCAATAATCACCTTGGCATCTCCTTCAAACCTAACCTCCGTGAACCCCAGACCCAAACACCAGCCAATAGCCTCCCGAAGGGTCAGTAATTCAATGACCATCGGATCAACCAGGTCAGGAAACTGCAGCCCCCTAGCCAAAAGTATCTCATAGTTCGATGTCATAAGCACCATACCCCCAGCCAAGGGAGCCCCCTGCCTGGTAGCCCCATCCCAGAGGCAGACAATCCTGGAATCATCAACAGGGGCAGTCTGGAGGATAGGAAGGGTATATGGAGGAAGAACACGATCCAAGGGCAGGCTTATCCATTCCTCATATTGCTGGTGAAACTGCCTCATCAAGGCTGGGAACCCAAACTGTTTTCCTTCAAAGACAACCCAGTTCCGCGAACGCCATATTCGCCAGAGGACAGCCACCAAGACCATAAACAAATCCGGCTGATGAATGAGAGCCATTACTCTTTTCAGAAACAGGGGGAAAGTATGGCGAGGCAAACCCTGCCCTAAAAATTCCAATCCCGAGAGGTCCCAAAGTGCTCGAGCCACTGGGCAAAAGAGAAATAGATGCTCCAACGTCTCATTCTCCTCCCAGCACACCGCGCATCTGGGGTGCACCTGAACCTTTCTCTCAATTAGGGCTTCCGCAGTTGGAAGGATCCGGTTCAGAATCCGCCAAAGGAACACCTTCAGTTTGGGTGGTATATTAGCTTCCCAAAGACGGACCCAACTAGCTTTGTCCATCCAACTAGCCGACGAGCGCAACCTACCTTTCTGTTTATCCAACAGAACCGCAAGATGGTAAGCTAACTTCACTGTGAACTAACCATCAGCCGTGTCATGCCAGATAAGCCGATCCGGCAAAGTGTGCCGGGGTAGGGGGATTGCTTTAATCGCTTGACAGGTAAGGGGATCGAACCATTGACCAAGCTTAGAGTCACACCACCGCCCCTCGCCTGGGCACAAGACTTCTGAAACACAAGGATCCCTCCCCTCTGGAAGAATTTGAGGACTATAAACTGGGGCAGCGGGATGCAATTGAGGAATCCAGCTGGAATGCAACAGAGAGGCGGTCTGACCATCCCCAATCTGCTAACGAAGACCCTTCTTAAGGAGATTTCTATCGAACAAGATACTCTGCCAACCCCAGGATGGACGTGACCGAGCCTGAGCAGTAAGGAATGACCCCTGGGGAAAATACTTTCCTTTATAGACTTGGGCTAAAAGCGATTGAGGCTCATTAAGGATCCGCCATCCAATCTTAGCCAAGAGAGCTTGATTCAACTTCTCGAGCGACGGAAACCCATACCACCATCATGCTTGCTACGACACATATTTCTCCATGACATCCAACGCATCTTAGGATGGCCATTCTTAGTGCCCCACCAGAAGCGTGTTATATGCTTATCCAGAAGGCAACAGAGAGACAAAGGGAGCCTAAACCATGACATGACATGTAAGGGCAAAGCTAAAGCAACCGATTTAATCAACGTTTCCTTAGACGCCCAAGACAAAGTCCGTTGCTTCCACCCCTGTAGTCTCTCCAATAATTTCTCCTCCAGATACCGGAAGGTAGCCATCTTAGATCGGGCTATCAGCGTCGGTAGGCCCAGGTATTTATCATGGACGCCCACTGCACCCACTCCTAGAATCTGGGCCAAGAAATCTTGATCTGGCAGGGCAATATTCTTACTAAAGCACACTGCTGATTTACCCAGGTTAACTCTCTGCCCACTGAGCTCTTCGTACTCATTTAAAACTACAAGCAGGTTCTCACATTCCTGGAGAGAGCCACGAAGGAATAAATAGGAGTCATCGGCGAAGAACAGATGGGAAATTCTAGGAGCACGCGGAGCAACCTTCACACCTTCCAATTTGCGCTCAGCAATAGCCTTCCGTAGGAGAGCGGCAAATCCCTCAGTACAGAGTACAAATAGCAAAGGTGAGAGTGGATCCCCCTGCCGAAGACCCCTCGTAGGGGAGAAATACCCTGAAGGGGTGCCATTCATTAGAACCGAAAACGAAGTGGAGGCAAGGCACTCCCTGATCCAGGCCCTCCAGGTAGAGTTAAAACCCATTTTCTCAAGAACAGCAAGAAGAAAGGGCATTCGACTCTATCATAGGCCTTTTCCATGTCAACCTTTAGAGCCATGTACCCTTTCTTACCTTGTTTCTTGATCTTGAGGTAATGCATTAACTCATGCCCTATAAGGATATTATCCACAATCTAGCGCTCTTTGATAAAAGCATTTTGCCCCTCCGACAATATTTTGGGCAAGAGACTGGCCAGACGATCCGCCATGATTTTACTAATGATTTTATAAATGAACTGGCACAGACTAATAGGATGAAGTTGTCGCATAGTCTCCACTACTTCAACCTTGGGAATCAAAGTAAGCCACGTATGATTGAAGCTCCGCAGCATCTTGCTCGTCGAGAAAAATGAGCAGACTGCATCACTCACTGAATCTCCAACAATGTCCCAGAAGACTTTAAAGAACTTGCCCGTGAAACCATCTGAACCTGGTGCTTTATTTGAGCCCATAGCAAACACCGTTCTGCGAACATCACTAGGCCGAACTGGTGCCGTGAGAGAAGCATTCATCTCAGGAGAAACACTGTGAGTGATAGGGACAGCCGCCACCCTGTCGGGCATATTCCCCACCTGAGTCTCCGAGGTGAATAACTGTTGGTAGAACGAATTGGCAATGCCCGCCTTCCCAACCTCATCAGTGATCCACTCACCCGTGCCATTGCGCAGACCGGAGACAAAATTTTTCCTTCTTCAAGTCCTCGTGACCGTATGAAAGTAAGAAGTGTTTTTATCCCCTTTTTTCAGCCAATTAACCCTAGACTTCTGCTGCCAGTAGATTTCCTCTGCCTCCCATTGCCTAGAATGATTAACTTCATTAATCTGGGTGCAAATACAAAAGTTGGAATGAAAAAACACCGAGGCATCAACCCCAGGGGACCAAGCTACTACTAACCCACCCGATGCATCAACAGCATCAACAAAGAAACAGTGGGAATGATGAAACCCTAACCCCTGCATACGCCGGGTAACTACTCGCCGGCTCGATCGTGTCTCCGAAAAGAACACAAGATCCGGTTTATTTGAATGCACTAAACCTACAGCAGTTTGGAATGTGAGGGATGGTCCAATTCCTCTCACATTCCAGGTCAGAAGCCTCATTTATCCGGTTGGGGCCACTCGAGGCTGGCTTCCTCCACCTTTTCCATTCCATCTTTATCCTCATCTTTATCTTCAACAAACTGCTTTTTGGGGGTTGGATTTTCCGCCATCTCCCCATCCATTTCGTCAAAATGACGTTTCTTCACACCAGCCCCTGGCTCAGGTAGGTTGGTTCCATACTCATCCAGGGGGGTATTATTAGCAACGTCGACCACTGATTCCAGCACGTCCGTACTAAAACGAGCTTGGGATTGACCCGTACCGCCACCATCTTCATTATCCTGCATCGCAAACCCAAGTTCAAAGGCTCGGACCACTTGACTAACCCGAGAAGACTTAACCAGCCGCTTCAGCACCCCTGACGCCGAAGGAACACGGCGCCGAAGCTCATAGGATTGGGCCTCGTCGTCCGAGATGGTGTCCTCCGACTCCATGGGGTCATCATTTTGCAAGGGCAAGTTAGGAGTGGCCCTGGGCGACGGTGACAGTCCCACCGCAGCTCCCTTTGCCTTCACAACTCCTCTAGTCGGCTTTTGATCATCGGGCTCCTCCTTGGACATTTTATTGGGCTTACTGGACCAGTCCATCACAATTGCTTTCCCTTTTTTCCGTGTTGCGCTTGGATCAGATTGAGAAGCCTGCAGTTTGTGGGTCGACCCATTAATTTATTTGGGGCCTGGTCGACCAAGCTCCACATTCACCTTTCCTTTCAGCTGAGACTTGGAAGCAACCTGCCGTTTGGGAGCTTGCGTCGCCGTCTGAACACACGGGTCAGATTGACGAGGAGCTGGCCGAACTGCACCCTGTCTGCTAGACGAGATGGGTTGGACAAAAAACTCATCCTCAGATTCCTCCTCTAGAATGAGGCGTCGGCGACGAGGCACCACGTTAGGACCTGCACTGGGTGATATACCAGAGGATGGCGGCAACTTACAAGAGGCCGTTTCCTTCTCTCGATGCTGCATGTCAGCAGCGGTAACCGCCACCTGTTCAGTACGCGTGGGTCTACCATGCCTACCACGTCACCGCGGCGCCGGGATCGGGTCCTGCCGTTCATCGATATCCATCGGACTGTCCACTGGAGCCGCCTTCCCTTTACCCCGACGAGCCGTCCTTCCCAGGGGGATTTTATGGGCTTTCGGAATTGGGAAATGAAGGGGGCTTCTCCCCAGTTTGGATCGGTGCTCGGCATGCTCAGTAGTGACAAACGGATTATCAAAAGACCCCATCCACAATGGGATGTTTTCCACAATCCGATTTTTAGTAGGGTTAGGCTCTTGCCGCGACATGGTTCCCGTACGACGTATCACTCGGTCGTCCTGGCCAGATTTGTGGCGAGCATTTGAATTGATCCAGACCGAGTTGGGCTAGCCAGAAAACCGCTGGTGATGGTCCTCCTCTTCAAAAATTTTCCTCCCCATTTTTTTGGTCGTCATGTGAGGACCAAACCGCTCTTTTCGTGTTGGCGGATCAAACATACAGTTTTGACGAAAATGTCCCACACGCCCGCAGTTGTAGCAGAAACTGGGAAGGTGCTCATACTTGAACCGGATCCAAAAATATCCCGTCTTTTCATTAGTTGCCCAGATTTGAGACCTTAGAGGCTTGGAGAAGTCAATGAGAGTTTTAACCTTGATGAAGGTCTTGGCTGTATCCGTGCAGGAAAAAATGCCCGCTTCGAGAACCCGTCCAAGGGTGGAGCTTGCCACTTTTCGTCCAAATTGTTGAGTGCAGCATTCTTCTTGCACATCCCACATTTGGACTCGGAATGGTGCAATTGCCATCTCATCAAACGTTCGAGCCGTGATATTCGGTGTCCAGGCTCGCAGGTGAAGGATTTTGTCGTTAATAACCCAGGCAGTGCGCTGGAGCACCCAATTTTTCGCTTCTTCAGTTGGGAGAACGAACTCGTACCATCCGTGTGCCGCCTCCCTAACTTTGATTCGTCCCTGGCCTTGCCATGGGTTATTAGTCGCCTCACGTAGTTTAGTTGTGGTCAGCCAATCCTCAGCGAAGAGGCGGCCCAGCAGCATTCTCGACTGGCGTACCCTGTCTGATTGTATCTCCGATAGCAAAAATTCCACGACCTGGTCACTAGCAATGTGAGCCATGGTAGCCGACTGCAACATAGAAAAGGAGTTCAGCTCACGGGTATTAATAATGGCCGAAGCCTCGCTAATTGGAGCCCATGGGTAGCTCGAGAAATTAAAGTAGAAATTTCTGGTAGGAATTTCATCTACCCATAAACAGAGAAGGATTTCCGAAATCAGAAGTTCTCACTTACCAGAATAGACTTCCTGCTTGCAGCTGCTAGACACCCTATCCTCCTATCGATGGTTATGTTGATGAGAGGTCGGGCTGAATGGCCGCGTTAAATAGGCGTGGAAGGTTTGAAACCTCTCCTGTTGCGAGAGTTCTATTTGGAAAGGGGAACTATAATATTTCAAATTAGATAATCGGTTGGTGGATATTCCAAACCGCGTAGTGATAACGATGTAAATGCACATGTTTGCGCCCCTAGTTCTTATCCGTTTGAGGAGTATAGTCGTGTGTTTTGGCCTATTTTACGCCGGGTTGTGCTATTGTGTCATGTTTCAGGTCCCAGGCGTTAAAGGGAAGGCTAACCGCGAGTTTCGGGGCATTCGGAAGTCATTTCGGTGAGCTGGAGCCAAAACACGGGCAGACCCAAGGCATTACACGGCCGTGTAATGCTGGCCGTGCTTTTTATGCCGAGAGCAAATTCAGTTTGGCCAATTCAGCTGCAAACACGGGCACCGAAGCACGGCCGTGTTCCACCAAAGCACGGCCGTATACATTGCGAAGCACGGCCGTGTTTAACCCACTTGCTGGCCGTGTAATTAAGCCCTGGCCGAGACACGGGCGTAGTCAGGCAAAGCACGGCCGTGCCCTCGACCGTGCTTTGGCCACTGATGCTTTTAAGCAGATTTTCAGCCACAACTTGAGGGGATTCGAGTTTTTGAGAGAAAGAACGACTTCTAGAGAGAGAAAGTGACGAGCAAGAGTTCCCAAGTGCCCTAGATTGATCTTCAACACCATTGGAGGCCAGTTTGAGCTTGGAGAAGTGCCAATCAACGTCCAGAAGCAGGAATCCATCCTTCGCAGTATGAATTCCGTGTCTGATTCTGCTTTTGCTTTCTTCTCCATGGAGTAGTTCTCCCATTCATCTGGGTATGGAGAACCCTAGATTTGTATGTTAGGCTTTGATTGTATGAACCCAAGTACTGATTCTGTGATTGATTATATTCGATTGAGGTTTTAATGATTGAATGACTTGAATCCTGATCAAATTCCTGTTGTTTCTGCTTTGACCTAGAATGAGAATATCTGCCTAGGTTAATAGAGTATCCTTGATTGAAGGTAGGGAGTTGGTGACTTTAGTCGAGGAGCCAACTCACTATTCTGTACCGGATTTACTCCGGTAGTGGAGGTTTTGTTCTTAGGGCCTCAATCTGTCGACTCCGGTGGAGGTTAGTCGCCCGCTAGAGAGTCAGATTGAGAGGGTCTGAAGACCTTTAGTCGAGACTTCAGGCTGTTTAAGAACCTTCCGCAGTATAACTGTCATAGAAACTGAACTTGGTAATTACAATCCGGCTTAACTGCAGTCTAGGGGGAACCATATCCGGGTGACCTCTCTTAACTTGAATACAACCAGTTTACTTGCTTTGTTTGTTTGTTAGTTAGACTTGCATTCCAGTTTCATTGCTAGATAACAAGAATTCACTGAGTAGTCATCAGATCTAGGACCCGGGTTGATAATTAAACCCAAACCCGCTATACTACGCTTTAGGAAGTGGTTTCACTTGGCCAATTCCTGGAGTGACAGTAGAGTCGAGTCAAGTTTTTGGCGCCGTTGCCGGGGACAGCTAGGTTGTTGAAGAAAATGATTTCTGTTAATTTAGCTTTTCTTTTTGCTTTGTTTTCTTTGTCCCACTTGTGCCTTCACGGGTTTGTTGCTTGAGTGTGTGCAGGTAGTGCATGACCCGTAGCCAGTCGGGAGGTTTACTGGCGTTGAATCCAGAGATTGACCGCACCTGTCGCCAGCTCAGGAGACAACAGCGAGCTAGACTGGCTACGGAAGAGCGCATAGACGGCCACCTGAGCAGCGATTCTGAAGAAGAGCACGGGATGGACAGAGACTACAACCAACACCAGGGGAATCCACAGCAGGTTCCCCCGGTGAATCAGGTCCTGGGGAACAACCCCATACCCCAGGATCATGGAGTTCATCATCCACCGCAGCCGGGCCCCACCTTGGAGTACTACTACACTCCTCGGATTGCTGACATCCGCCCGGTCATCCTCTACCCGCCGATCCCAGCAAACAACTTCGAGATCAAGCCATGCTGGATTCAGCTCATTACATCCTCCATCCAGTTCCATGGCTTGAAGGATGAGGAGGCCAGGGTGCATCTTTCCCGTTTTCTGCAGCTGACGAACGGGTTCAAGCTGAATGGTGTCCCCGATGATGCGATCCGCCTTCATCTCTTCCCCCATTCTCTGGCGGGGAATGCTAAGAGGTGGTTGGAGACCCAGCCCCCATTGTCCATCACCTCTTGGGACGATCTGGCTGACAAGTTCGTGCACAGGTACTATTCGGCATCGAAGACTACAGAGATTCAGAGGGAGATCGCTCACTTCCGCCAGGAGCCAGATGAGTCACTTCGTGATGCATGGGAGCGGTACATGGGATATTTCTGGCAGTGTCCCCACCATGGCTTCAGTGATGCATTCACAGTGGGGAACTTCTACAGCGCTCTCTCCCCAGATAGCCAGAGGGTGATTGAGTCTTTATGCCCAGGAGGGGATATTCTTACCAAGACTCCACCCGAGCTGAACCAGATGATCAGTACTTTGGCTGCCAGAGATCATTCTTGGGGACAGGGTAGTCGAGGCAGACAGTCCCGGGACCGTGGTGTGCACGCCATGGAGACCAGATCTGGGCTCGAGCAGCAGGTAGCTGAGCTAGTGCAGACATTGAAGCAGCCTAACAGTCTGATTCCGGGCAGAGGTTTGGCTACACCTCCAGTTGCTCAGTGTCAGTGGTGTGAGAGCTCCAATCACCTAGTGGAGGAATGCCAGGCTATGAGGGAGTCTACCACACCCCAGGAGCAGTTGGCCTTCATCGCCAATGCGAGGCGCCTCGATCCATACAGTAGCACTTATAATGAGGGGTGGCGCCAGCATCCCAACTTTGCCTGGAGCAGCAACACCACTAAACCACCTGGTTTCCCAGCACCAGCAGGTGGTTTTCAGCAGAGGCAGCCCTACCAGGCTCGACAGGGGCCAGTTCCACAGCAGCCATTCCAGCAGCCCCAGCACCAGTTTGCCGAGCCAGCAGCAGCTCCAGCCCCAGATGACAGGATGACGAAGCTGGAAAACATTCTAGCCTCATTCATGACGAGCACTCAGGCGACTATCACGAGGTTGGACCAGAGTGTAGCCTCACTGGAGGCAGGTCAGAGGAACCAGGGTGCCATTTTGCAGGATTTGCAGACCTAGGTGGGCATCTTGGCCCGCCAGAACACCACCAGAGCACCGGGGACTTTGCCTGCCACCACTGTCCTGAATCCTCGAGATCCTCATCAGCATCAGCAGCTGGATGCCATTTTTACCAGGAGCGGTAAGACCATATCTGCTGATCCTGTCCCGGCCAGACAGGAGGAACCACTGACTGCTTCAGCACTTCCAGCCGACGATGCAGAAGTGCGGGTGGAGAAGGAAGCCCCTGCTCCCAAGCCACAACCAGTGGTTAAGGAGCATGTACCCCAGCTTCCCTTCCCCACTCGCCTACACAAAGACAAGCTGGAGATTGAGTTTGCCAAGTTCATGGCAATGTTGAAGCAGCTCAACATCAGCATACCGTTCATGGAGGCACTGTCGAAGATGCCCAAGTATGCCAAGTTCATGAAAGATATCTGCACCAACAAGAAGAAACTTGGGGATCTTTCGACAGTGATGCTCAGTGAGGAGTGTTCTGCTATCCTGCAGAACAAGCTGCCCGAGAAGCGCAAAGATCCAGGGAGTTTTACTATCCCTCTTACTATTGGCAGCATGCATGTAGGAAAGTCCTTGGCGGACCTAGGTGCTAGCATAAACGTCATGCCATATAAGTTGTTTAAGAAGCTAGACTTAGGTGAACTTAGCCCTACTAGGATGAGCATTCAGCTCGCTGACCGTTCCATTGTGCATCCTAGGGGTGTCATAGAGGATCTGCTTGTTCATGTTGGTGCATTCACATATCCTGTTGATTTTATTATTCTGGATGTAAATGAGGATGTGGATGTGCCTTTGATTCTAGGTAGGCCATTTCTTGCCACCGCCAAGGCACTTATTGATGTGCATGATGGAAAATTGATCTTGCGTGCTGGGAATGAACAGGCTACTTTTTCTGTGACTGAGTTTGATCACTGTGCTATGATTGCCGTCACGCCTGTGAATGCCATTTCTGATCAGGTACACGAGTCTGTCGTGTACCCTTCTGCACCTCCTATTTTGCAGGACCCCCCTATCATTCCTTCGCCGCCACTCCATCCAGCCTCGCCTCCGAACAAAAAGCTCAAGGAGCAGTGGCGGCCGAAGCCGCAGGTTGCTAAGCCTGCACGAAAGAAGAGTGGAGACCACTATGAGTTGGTCCCACCTCCTGCACCACGACCACCCTAGCCGTCTGGGTACTCGCTCGCCTGCATCTTGCCAGATGGGCAGGTCGAGCTGACTGATGATGGTGGTCGCATCCGTCGGGTGCATGGCCACAACCTGAAGCTGTACCTCAAGAGCGACGTGGGTCCGCTCTTGGAGGCACCTGTTCCTGCACCGCCCTGAGTATCCGCCATGGGCGTCCAGCTAATACGACGGTAAAGAAGCGCTTGTGGGGAGGCAACCCCACCACGGTTTGATTTTCTTTCTTGTGTTTTGAGTCAGATTGTAACCCGGTTTGGGTTTGGTTTGTTTTCTTTTGGTTTGGATGATATCTTATTGGGCTGACCATTGGACCTAACATACTGTGTTTGAGCTCTTTGGTTTCCTTTAGCTGTGCTTGGCTTGACTGGTCCGCTTCCCGCCCACTGCAGTCCGTGCATACCGGTAACATCGTTCCCCTTTTCCTTCCCTCTTCTCCATTGAGGGCAATGTCGATCTTAAGTGTGGGGGGATGTTTATCTTTTGACTGCATTAGATCTGTTTGTGTGCTTGGAGCCTAGTCCACTGTCCAAATTTTTGAAATTTGAGGGCTCCAAGCACGACTGTTTGCTTGATGATTGATTGTATTGGCACTGTGGATATGATTAGAGAATTGAATGGCTTTTGACTTGATACACGACGACTTGAGTGTGACTTAGACAACTTATTGTGATGACTGAGATGTGCAGTAGAATTGTGTAAGGGTTCAGTTTTTCAGCTGTCTGCTCACCAAATGTGACTTGGTTTGATCACTTGCTTTTGACAGTCATTTATGCATCTAGTTCAGGGAATCAGAACAAGAGATAGAGCATATAGGTAGCCATGTGAGATTTGAGCCTGCTCGTTTCTTTCTTGTGCGATAGTTTCCTCTTCCATGATATGCAGCATTCACGTTGTCGTTAGCTAAGATGATGGAGGCATAGGATTAGCCCACGACCAAATTGACTGTCCTAGTGTGTCATACCCCCTAGTCAGCCCCTTTGAGCCGTGTGTTATCCTTTCTTTTGGTCTGAAATGAAAAAGAAATCACCCTTTGCATCTTTTAGAAGGTTCCACAGAGTGGTTTTTACATATTCTCTGCTGTTTCTGCTAAACGTAATGTGAGGGTTGGAGGTAGTGCTTAAAAGTTGGGCAGGTGTTTGAAATTGTGCAGAGGTGGTGGTTCTCTTAAGAAATGGAAAATAATGAAAGAAAATCAATGAAAAAAAATGAAAGCAAAAGAGAGCCACCACAAAAGAGAGCCCATGTAGTAGTGTTTCTTAGCAGTCTGGCTTAGAAATACTAGCATTTATGTAACCTCCTTCGCTCTTGTGTTCTGAAGTTGAGTAATGCAGAGTAGCAGAAAGAAAGTTTCTGGTCTGATTGATTGTGAGTCTGTTAGGTTTGGAAATGTGGAACCTTGTGCTGTATGAATACTTCCACCACCTAAAAGGCTTTTTCCCCATGTCCAAGACCCTAACCAGTCATCTGAACCTGTGTCTAAGACCTCCGGATTAGTTAGTGGTGACACCCTGTTTGTGAACTCTAGCACTTAGAGGCTGCATTCATGATGAAGAGATGTTAGGGATTGAGAGATTGAGCATGCGCATTTTTCGCATCATATTGTCCTGACCCCACTGGTCGAGAGTGAGCGATTCATTTTCTCTTATTCTTTATACTCTTTATCCCGGTGAGAACCTTGATTGCTCGGTCTTACTTCTGATACCTTGAAGTTTGTGCATGATGTGACTGTTTTGAACAAGTGGTTGAGTTAAGTCTATGTTGGTTGGTGAACAGAAGGGAAACTCTTCCTTTGCTCGATTTTACTGCATTCGAATGTCATCTGTGGTGGTTGTCTAGGTTGTCAGTGAGGTTGTCCATGTGTTAATGATCGAAAGCCAGTATGATCCACGTGTTTTGTGCCGATATGTCATGCCTTGTTGTTTTGAGCTTACCTTGTGTCTGACTTGGTTTGCTTGAGGACAAGCAAACGGTTAAGTGTGGGGGAATTAGATAACGATGTAAATGCACATGTTTGCGCCCCTAGTTCTTATCCGTTTGAGGAGTATAGTCGTGTGTTTTGGCCTATTTTACACCGGGTTGTGCTATTTTGTCATGTTTCAGGTCCCAGGCGTTAAAGGGAAGGCTAACCACGAGTTTCGGGGCATTCGGAAGTCATTTCGGTGAGCTGGAGCCAAAACACGGGTAGACCCAAGGCATTACACGGCCGTGTACTGCTGGCCGTGCTTTTTATGCCGAGAGCAAATTCAGTTTGGCCAATTCAGCTGCAAACACGGGCACCGAAGCACGGCCGTGTTCCACCAAAGCACGGCCGTGTACATTGCAAAGCACGGCCGTGTTTAACCCACTTGCTGGCCGTGTAATTAAGCCCTGGCCGAGACACGGGCGGAATCAGGGAAAGCACGGCCGTGCCCTCGACCGTGCTTTGGCCACTGATGCTTTTAAGCAGATTTTCAGCCACAACTCGAGGGGATTCGAGTTTTTGAGAGAAAGAACGACTTCTAGAGAGAGAAAGTGACGAGCAAGAGTTCCCAAGTGCCCTAGATTGATCTTCAACACCATTGGAGGCCAGTTTGAGCTTGGAGAAGTGCCAATCAACGTCCAGAAGCAGGAATCCATCCTTCGCAGTACGAATTCCGTGTCTGATTCTACTTTTGCTTTCTTCTCCATGGAGTAGTTCTCCCATTCATCTGGGTATGGAGAACCCTAGATTTGTATGTTAGGCTTTGATTGTATGAACCCAAGTACTGATTCTGTGATTGATTATATTCGATTGAGGTTTTAATGATTGAATGACTTGAATCCTGATCAAATTCCTGTTGTTTCTGCTTTGACCTAGAATGAGAATATCTGCCTAGGTTAATAGAGTATCCTTGATTGAAGGTAGGGAGTTGGTGACTTTAGTCGAGGAGCCAACTCACTATTCTGTACCGGATTTACTCCGGTAGTGGAGGTTTTGTTCTTAGGGCCTCAATCTGTCGACTCCGGTGGAGGTTAGTCGCCCGCTAGAGAGTCAGATTGAGAGGGTCTGAAGACCTTTAGTCGAGACTTCAGGCTGTTTAAGAACCTTCCGCAGTATAACTGTCATAGAAACTAAACTTGGTAATTACAATCCGGCTTAACTGCAGTCTAGGGGGAACCATATCCGGGTGACCTCTCTTAACTTGAATACAACCAGTTTACTTGCTTTGTTTGTTTGTTAGTTAGACTTGCATTCGAGTTTCATTGCTAGATAACAAGAATTCACTGAGTAGTCATCAGATCTAGGACCCGGGTTGATAATTAAACCCAAACCCGCTATACTACGCTTTAGGAAGTGGTTTCACTTGGCCAATTCCTGGAGTGACAGTAGAGTCGAGTCACGTAGAGATATGGCTGATCACAGAAATCCCCCGGCCGTTATACGTCCCCGAAAATGGCGTGATCTCACTGACCGTTCGCGTGCCAGCAACCTTTCCTAGCAGAGAACGTCTCGGGCTAAGGATCGGCCGGGGAAAAGTGGAATTCCACAACTCCGGCGACGGTCTGCGTCGGAAACTTTTAACCGCCTGAGTACCACCACCCACTTGTATCGAACTCGTCCCATTGCGGGATCTGAATTCGAGCTCGCCCCATTTCGGGATCTAAACTCAAAACTAGGGGTATCAGAACATGGAACCAGGGCCCTGGTTGGAGCTATCCGCTCTTGATGATGATTCACTGCATTATGATCATCTTGTGCCTCCCGATCTGCCTCCTCCGACGACGGTAAGTAGAACCGCCACACTAAAAGTCATGATTGACGCACTCGCTTGGGTTGAGTGGATTCATGGACGGGAGTACGAGCTGGGTTTTGTTTTCTTTTTCGCTTTCTAGGCTCGACTAGGACGGCTTCCCTCGGCCGTCGTCATTCAAGTAGCGCCACCGAGGTATCCACCGATGTCGTGTGGAGAATGGCCCACCATAGCCCCTGCTTCTCATGATTGGCAAGGGTGGATGTGAAGATCGCCACAAAGTAGTAGAGAATGATGTCGCCGGCCGTTCTACTGAGTTGTAGGATAGCAGTCATCCAGATGGCGAGGAGAGAGGTGAGAGCACCTATCATTTTTCCAGGTTCTATATCTCTCCCAAATATTTGTCTGAACAAGACAAAACAGAGACAATTAGTAGATGAAGTCAGTAGAGTGGAGTTGAGAGGAGATTGCATGTTGCAATGATGTTAAGGATTTTTATTCAGATCGTGTAGCAGGAGTTTGTGTAGTGAATGATGGGGTCGAGGTTTGAGATATTTGCTCAAATCTAGCTTTGTTGCGGCCAAAAAAATGCAGGAAATACAGAGAACAAACAACTATGAACTATGGAGATGTGAAGATAATGGACGAAAGGACTAAATGGAAAATTAAGTAAATGAAAATTGTCAGATCGGGAAATTGGAGGAGATATAGAATACGGAGGAGTATGATAAGTATTTATAATACTTCTCCAATGTCTAACCCTAATCAAATCTGGTAAAGGAAAAGTAGTTACGTACCAGGTCCAGAACACGAAACCAAATAACATTGAGCCTACACACCATGGACCGGGAGCGTTGCCCCTGGATCCCACTCGCACCGAGACATCCAATCGTAGCGCCAAATAGTCCTATTAAAATCACATCCAAAAAATAATTAATAATATTAATATTGTTAATATTTCACCTGTTATATTTTCAAATTTCTAACTCATTGAACAATAATGGGCAACCCTTCTAATTACTTGAGCCCTCAGCAAAGTGCGGCCACCTTCTAGTTCTTATATATAAAGAAGAAGTTCAGTTACTGTTGCCGAAACTTGCAAACTGATTAGGCGGTTGCATTTATATTTTAGATATTTCAAATTTAATTAAATTACAACTTAGTCACTATAATGTATATTTTACATTTTGATATCTTAAATTTAATTTTAATATAAAATCATTGAACAATTATGTTTGGGTATCTAAATTTAATGAACTTTTTGTACCTACATTTTTTTTAAGTTTACATATTGGTCCAATATTTAGATTTTACTTGAATCCATGAATACAATCCACCAATCCTTTTGAATCAATCCATGAATCCAATCCACCATAACAAAAAAATATATATTTAGTTTGTACCATACAAGATGTTGTATCACTCAACTGTAGAAGAAGATTCGACCATTTATATTTGCTCATTACGTGAAACATTAAATAAATGATAAAAGAGAGACGACTCTAAAATATTACAAGAGCAATGTTATAAACTCATTTAGTACATTTACAGGGTACTAAACAAATTTCTACTAATTACATGTAACAAAATAGGCGACATCTACATAAGCAAGTGTCAACAATTGCTACGGTGAAAATGGTTGACTGTTGTATTGACGGCCAGTTAAAAGAATTTGTGAAAACCTTTCCATCATCTACTTACTTTTCGTTTCATTTTTCACTCGCCTGCAATAACCCTTTCTTTATTTCTTTCTTTACCTTCTTCGTCTTGCCCTAACTACTATACAATTTTTATGTATCCTAATCACAAGTATGAACGGGTCCATATACGATTTACCAACAGTCTAGAGAATTAATAATTGAACCATAAACCACTCACTTATCAGCTCAATTAAAAATAAATGTATGTAGTTATTATTTATTAGAAAGTAATCATTTTTCACTATGAGATTTGAAGGCGTGAAATTTTAAATGAGTTCCAGTTTGTATTAATTTTGCTTCTCCCTAAAGTTTTTTCTTTTTCCCCCGAGCTAGAATTTTCAACAATTGTACATGAAATGTTTGGCTAGGTATCTACATATATCAAATAATAGTTTCCATTTTTCTATAAAAAAGTAAATAATTATCATATTAAATACATCACCGTAAAGGAATTAAATCTCAACTATACAAATTATAGTTCGGTACCTAAACTTAATAAATGTTTAGATTTATAACCAATTTTTTTTTTGCACATAAGTCCTCAAAATATTGATGGAACATTACATTTTAGTATCTAAAGTTTTTGTGTATGACATTTTGGTGCCTAAACTTTGAAGTTCTACAAATATGTCTAATTTTTGTATGTGTAATCAGGGGCGGACCCACCTTGTAGCAAGGTGTGTCACCCGACACACCTTGCTCCAAAATTTTTGTGAGGAACTCACATTTTTCGGTGTAAAAAATTCTTACCAAGGAACTCCGACACACCTCCAATAATTATAATCGAACACACCTTAACCTTATTACATTAAAAAAATTATTGTGATTATAGTATTAAAATATGTAAATATAGGAGTTATCAGATTTCATATTAGGTAGTTAATTAGTTGGTTGTACAAGAGTAAACAATTAATTGACTACTTACTACTTAGTGAGTATTCAGAAAGATAGCTATCACCTTACAGATAACCTCAATAAATTGAATGAGAATTAAATTGATTAATAATCTGGTTGAGTCACGTAATTAGATAGTGAATTCCATATAGTCTTTCCCCATAACTTCTTCCATGGATTCTTCTTAAGTTAACATTCTACTTGCTTTCTAGTTTAGCTATTTCTTTCTACGTTGATGCTTGTCGCCACCGTCTGGTTGTCGATATCGAGCCGACTACATCCTCATTCTCATTCAAACTTACACATTGACGCCTGTGGCCACCCTTCCAGCTTCTCATACCAGCTTTCTCATATTAAATTAGTGTTGACTTTACATATTGCAACTGTAAGCTACAAAATTACATTTTTCATATATGAGTTTAATCGAGAAAAATTTTTGGTATAAGTTGAGTGATCAATTTATGAATAATTTTTTAGTTGTGTACATAAAAAATATATTTGATTTGCAGCCTAATGAGCAAATGTAGTTAAGAAATTTTTCAGCATATGAAAACTCGTCGTGGTTCACTGTAAAAAATAATGAAATTGATGAACTTTATGAATAAATTTTTTATATTTATTTTAAATTAATTAATTAATTAAATTTTTTTATTGGCCGATACAGCTATACCAAAATTCTGGGTCCGCCACTGTGTGTAATTGAAACACCCTCGAATAAATGGGTATCAACACATACACATTTAGATTATGAAAGTAAATATCCATATCCTACCCAAACTCATTTACAAACTTTCAAACCCATATATACATCACTCATACCCTACCCATAATCAATGAGTCTACTTGGGTTTAGATAAATATCATTTCTTAGCCAAAATTTTCAAATTTTTTTAAATTGGATGTTGACTCCATATATATCTTCTCAGTCAATATCATATTTCAAATCAATATTACTAACAAAACTGCTAACAAAAAATTTATTTTAGACTAATAATACTAACAAAATATCATAACTGGCTACATAATACATGCCCATAGGCCATCTCCGCCACGCGCAAGGCACGACATCGCCACCTAGTTGCTTTTAATACTAGGAGGTGTGTATGTTTTGCATATTTCAAGTGCCGTATATTATATATAAGGACTTTGTTAAATATTCATCACCGAAGCTAAATCAATTATTAATGGATCAAATTGTTAACACTAGTTATAAGCATATTATAGTACTTATAAGTTATAACAACTCCTTCCTCCTTTTCATGGATTTGGGTTTTCACATGCAAAATTACAGTTTGATATCTAAACTTAATAGATTTTAGAATTTAGAATTTAGGGTCTAATTTTTTTCATATAAGTCCTACAAATATTGATGGAAAATTATATAATGCCTAATCTTATGCATTACCTATAAGTATTTAATTTTTTAATTTAATTTCAAAATAAGTTCAATTTTATGAGTTTTTTTATATGTTTTAGGGGTGAGACACAATGCGATCCGGACCATATATATGATCTGCGGTCCAGACCGTGAGACTAAAACATAGACAATGGACCACACCATATACTATATGATTCAGACTAGACCGCATTTATTCAGTCCAATCTTGTACGGTTCAACTAAACTTCACTCTTCTTCGTCCCTCAAATTCTCATCAGTATCCATAAAAATAAAATGTTTAGTGCCCAATATCCTAGTGAAGCAAAAATTTCATGATCGTAATTAAACTGCGAAGAAATATGAGGATTGAGGGGAGAAGTGAACTGTTTCGATTTTTAAACCTCATTTCATTCTCCACCACTCTATTCAGTGTCTACTTAACATAAATGCACAACAAATAACTTCGTCAACCTCTTTCTCTTTGTGCTATCAATTCTCTCCCTATCCTAAGTGGTTCGGAAGGTTCTCGCACTCAATCCTCAACACGACACCGTCGAGAGCGTTTTGAACTACTGGGTCTCCACTCACTCTCTAGAATTGCTCTTATCCCACCCATGTAAATAAAATTTGTTATGCATATCTACATTATCGCCTCCGAAGTCTAGACATGACTAGTGGAGATAATTTTTCCATTTGTTCTTGTTTTTGTGAGGTTCGTTCATCAGGAGATAACACAAATTGGATTGCTTGAGCAGTCTATTGGTTTTCAGTTGGATGAAGAATCAATAGATTTTTTGTGCTTGTACTGAAATCTATTATAAGAAGATCAAATTTTGTGCTCGTCATGGTCAGATTAATCAGGCTCGGTTTGTTCTTCACAATGTAGAAATGGAGGTTTAGTGTTATTTTGGTTTGGATTATGGGTAATGGTTCATGGTTTACCGTGATTAACCGTGGTTTGTAGTGGTCCAGACTGTGTCAAACCACACACTAAATGGGGAGACCGCAAACCATACCAGACCGTGATTATGGTCTCACGATCAGTCCAAACCTTATGGTCTGTTCTAGACCCTGGTTTCCCGTACAGTTTGGTCAGTATTCACAGCCTTAGTACATAGTATGCTTTAATGAAATTGCGGTATGTTGTTTGAGATTTCTTGTATGCTTTTAGAAACATGTGGTAAGCTTTAATAAGCTTGTCGTTTGCTCTATAAGTTTTTTTTATATGCTTTATGAGGTTTCTTGTCTATTTTAAAAAACTTGTGGTCTTCTTTAATAAACTTTTGATATGTGAGATTTCCTATTTGCTTCACGGAATTTGTGGTTTGCTTGATGAGATTTTTAGTATGTTTTCACAAACTTGTATTATACTTTATGAGATTTCTGATATGCTTTAGAGAGCTTGTAGTATGTTTTCTAAAGTTTCTGGTGTGCTTCAGATAAACCTTTGTTTACTTTAATTTAACAAACTTGTGGCGTGCTTTATGAGGTTTCTGGTTACTTTAAGAAATTTGTGGTCTACTTTGAGTTTTCTATTACGCCTATGAATTTTGTAGGATGGTGAGCTTTCAGTATGTTTTATCTTCTTTTTCTTGTGGTTTGTCGTGTTTTTGGTATGTGTTTTGTGGTATGCTTCATGATACTTGTCGTGAGGCAAGGAACGTATAATTATTGACTAGCACAACACATGTGTGCGCCCTTAATTTTTAATAATGACAAGCATGTCCATCCCTTTACAAATTTACATTAATTATGGTCAACCCCTTAGAATAATAATAATAATAATAATAATAATAATAATAATAATAATAATAATAATAATAATAATAATAAGAAGAAGAAGAAGATGTTCCTATTGACTCGAGCTAGTGTTAACATTATACTAACAATCTAGATTTTGATCAGGCTGTTGGCCGGATTACTTTAAGTTATTGACACTTAAATGTAAGAGAGAGAGCAAGAGCGGGAGAGTATCTATTTTCATAGAAGTGTATATACAAAGCGTTAACACGCCATTAATATATTGATTCCAGGGGTGGCAGCATTCTTGAATGAAGTCTATCTAAACCGAATTAGCAGTTCTTAAATCAGGCTAGACTTCTCCACCTGAGCTAGGCTGATTGAAAAAGTTATTAAATGCACTACCAAATTATAGACAAAACACTATAACACCTCTTATTCAAGATCTACATCTAAATCAAAATCAAAATAACAAAGTTAAATAGCCCATTTGAACGATTTGTTACCAATTTTAAAAATAAAATTTTAAAATTTTGCTTTGTATTTGATATTTTATTTATAAAAGGAAAAAAAAAGTACACGTATGCTCCTCGCACATCAACCCCTAAGTTTTCCCAAATGGAATCGTACTACTCCACCCAATGGTCTTACTGTTTCTTTTTCTTATAGCCACCAACTGTCAACCTTTCATTCCCTTCCATCAAAAGTGTATATCTATAAAATTCCGAGATTCTAATATAACAAGTTCTTTTACCAGTCCAAAACGATCTCTAGACCAGTGATGACCTCAATAATCTCATTGAATCTATATCTTCTAATCTAGTGTTGAGTTATTAATGTGCATGTGTTGACAACACATGTAACGAGCCCAAATTCTCTAGAGTCTTTATTGTCACAAATTATTTTAGTCCTTACTCTCACCCACCACATGAATGTTTATCTCTCGTGAAACGATCATTCTTTGGCTTATGAATGGATCTATTAATTCGCAAATGTTTTTTTGAGTTCCCCCAACTTTGTATTTTCATTCTCTAAAGTAGGAGTGCCAACCCATCTCCCTCGAATTGTATGACTTAAGGATTACTTAATGTTAGAGAATGTTTAAATGATTTTAATAGAAATAAAAAGGCTTAGATCACATAGGCAGGCACATTCGACAAATAAGTCTCTACAGTTTCCTAACATTAATGTAAAAGATACTCAATAAATGTGTTCATTACTCGACTTACCTGATGAAATACTAAATTTCTACCACTAATACGGCAAATAATCACTATACTTCTTGTTAGGTCTGATAAGCTAAAGTCTGGCCTGGTTGGTATTCCAATAAACCACGTCTCATAAAAAGTCCAATTGCTCACTCCCAACGCAATCACTCAAATAAGGCCCAAAATGCCCCTAGATCTGGGAAGGGAGTGCTCAACGACAATACAATGAGACAGTTGTTCACACCGAAGATAAGAAGTTGCGTACTGAAAAATAGAGCTACATGTCATTCTGACTCATCAGACGGATGCTCGTATATTCTAAGTAATAATGAACCTTGGGATCACTTAACAGTACAAACGAAGTATCATAAATAGACATGTGATTGAACCATAGGACATGACCTCATGTGCTCGGGCATACCATTAATGACGTTTAACCCGATTTGCCTAGTATAAATAGGGCCGACATCTCTAGAGATGGCCGACATTAATACACATTTTTCAAATAATAAACCTGAAATTATTCCCTATCTAAGCCCGACCAGCCTCCTGCGCTCAGACCTCTCTCTCTCTCTCTCTCAACCTATTTTACTGATATATGTCTCGATAATTTTTCTTCTTAACTGTCATAATTAATTACCAAACACCAACTCATTCACCTACTCTTCCTCTAATCCAAACCATCTTGAACCGCCTTAGGCCAAGATTGACTATAGTGGACACTAACCCCTCAATAGACTGACGACCTAGTCAAACGAGATTAAACACTTTTAATCACATATAAAAATAATTCAAAAATCATAAATATTATGAATAAACTAATTACTGTAAATTATAGAAACAAAACTCATTCAACCAATCGAGTGATTGTACAATTAGTTCATGCCTTAAACCATTTTATTTATCTAAAGAATCAAAATGCACAATCATATTCATTTACATGTCCTTGTCATACAAATTCACTAATATACTATTCATTCTAATTAAATTAATTAGTATTATTGTGTATATATACGCCTAAATCAATAGGAGGGCCAATTGGGAGAACGTAAGTTTCTATTAGGGTGAGAGCGTTACATAAAGGAAGGATTGAAAAATCGTACCGGAAATTGTACTGGAAAAGTAAGTTATAGTGAATTTTATTTCAACCAATTAATACCACTAAATACCATCTACCCATATTGCTTCCGGTAGGAGGTTTTTTTTTTTGTCTAATCGTCGTTACGGTATAATATTTCAATCTTAACATTAAGCAGGCTATGATATTTTATGGTTCAGCCGTGATTCTACCGTTTAATCACACCTAACAGTTTCACTTCGATGTGAAGTTACTTTGATCGAACCACCGGTACGCTACGGTAATTCACTCCTCGACATAATGGATATATGGATTGCAGTTTTGATGGTAGGTCGATAAAATCGAACAAACAAAGGAAGCAAGAAAACACCAAACCAAGGAAACCCCCCAAATAGATAACTTACAAACCCTTTGGTTCCTTTTGCTTCAACTGAAGGGTTTTCCCAAGTCTCATGAAGCAAAAGAATGGGGTATATATCTTCTTCCCTTCAACTTCCAACAGCAAACCCACAACACAATTATTCTTTCCTTGCAACATTCTATCCCAACTTGGTATCTCAATCAATCCTCTATTGATATTTCGCTCCCCCTCCCCGCCCCAAATGGAAACCCAACAACAATTGATATCAAGTCTTACCAATAATAGATATCATCATCATCATGTCACTCAGCCCACCGACAACGACAACCGGCGGCGGCAGCCCCTCCAGACCGTTTCAGCTGTACTGGTGCTTCCAATGCCATCGCGCTGTATCCATCGCCACAACAAGCCGTTCAGAAGAAACCGCCACGTGTCCCAGATGTTCCGGCCAGTTCGTTTCGGAGATCAACATGCGCCGCCGCCCCGCCGCGCAGCCCAGGTTCGTCATGGATTTCAGCGACTTGTTCGACCCTTCCCCCGAGTCTCGCTTGCTCGACGCTCTCTCTCTCGTCCTCGACCCCCCACTTGCCCGGGGACGAGACCCTTTCCCGCGAGGATCCGGCGGCGGAACGGAGTTCAACCCTCCTCCAACTACCAGAGGACGGCGCAGGCATAGAAGCTTAGACGACGGCATAGAGCCGGTGAGTGAGCCTGTTTCTGTTTGGGGAAATATATTAATTCATTGGGTAAATACAAATGTACTATTTATTGGTTAAACCTTTCAGACTTTTCAAATTATTAATCAAATCTTTTGAAATACAAAATATTAATTAAATCTTTTTGTTATGCATCAAAACATTAGTTATTTGTCCCTTACCGTTAGTAACTCTTTTCTTAGATAAAAATACTAAAATTTTGGAATATTGACCGTCACAGGTCTCTTCCAACTCATCATCATGTTGAAAATTTTGAAAGATTTGGCTAATGTTTTGCATTTTGAAGGATTCGGCTAATGATTTAAAATTTTTGAAAATTTTGACTAATGAATTGTATTTACTATTTAATTTGCGGAAGGTAGGTCGATACAGTTTGAATAATAGACAGAATTGAATATTTTGTTAGGACATTTTTCAAAGATCCACTACCATTTTAAAAATGTAGAAATTTGTCTGACCATTATTTACAACAACCAAGGTTATGTGACCATTTTGGATCATCATTGTTCATTCTGTTTAACAAAAATGAAACATGCATCATTTCTATTATGACCAAAGAGTACACGTATTAGCTAGATTAACAAATAACAATACAGTTCAATACCTAAACTATTCTACTCCACTAGGGCCGGAGGACGAGAACATGGATCATCATCCGACCCGTTGGCGGCGACCCGAGTTCGAGTCCCCCGACCCAATCCGGTGCCGCTCTCTTGCCACCAAGGGCAAACCCGAGGGACTACTTCTTCGGACAAAGCTTAAACGATTTGATAGAAGAGATCACTCAGGACGACCGCCCGGGCCCACCTCCGGCTCCCGAATCGGCTATCGAGGCGATCCCGAGGGTGGAGATCGAGGCGGCGCACTTGGCGCGCAACGACCACGACTCGTGTCCGGTGTGCATGGAAGAGTTCAAGGTGGGAGGAGAAGCCAGGGAGCTGCCCTGCAAACACATTTACCACGAAGACTGCATCGTCCCATGGCTGAGGTTGCACAACTCCTGCCCGGTTTGCCGCCAGGAGGTTCCGGCGGTCGAAGATGAGAGTGGGGAGGGAGAAGGCAGAGGCGGCCGGGGAGGCATGTGGTGGTGGCTGAGGCGGCAGCTGGCGGCGCTGTGGCCGTTTCGTGCTCGATACGCTAGAGTTGTGCCGCATGGTGTAGTAGCCAACGGTCGTCACCAAGAGATTCGTCGTAGCGCTGATGCTGCTGCTGCTAATGATTCCAGGAGAGGTCAGAATTGATTGCTATTGTCTGATTATGTGCGGGAACCAAAAATACATGCACACGATACTGTAAAAAAAAAAAAAAAGTTTGTCATTGTTAATAACAGTAAGCTTCAAATGAAGATTGCAGTAATCATGCTGCTTAATGGAATTTGTGTTAGTGTACTGAGAATCCATCTTTTTTGCTTTCAACAGTTTCCTCATCAGGATGGAGCCGCTGCAACATTCTGTGAGTGCTTCTTGTAGAAACGACTATGTAGGGCACATATCTGATCTAGACGAACATTATATTTACTGCATGGTTTCAACTTTCAAAAACGCATTTGTAAATACCGAAAGAGCTTGTATGTAATCAGTGGTGATTTGTACCAAAACCGAACCAGTAGAGACTAGAATTTTGATTAGATGCCGATCGTCAGCGGCAAACTGTGGGTTCGCTACTCAATTACATATTCTACGCAGTTTATGTTTAAAAGACTGGAAAATACCGACTAACTGTAATGTCTTGTTATGTAAAGGTTGTTGAACAACCTACACATATCGTTCCCCAACTTCTGATCCTAAATTCTGTCGGAGAACAGGGACTCAGAGGCACCTTGGTTGACAGTTACTGCCAGAGTAGAAACCTTGTGTATACGTTGTGTTCTTAAACATTACCTGCAATGCAATAGGGAACAAAAGGCATGCTTAAGAAATACACACAATCCCTAACTCGGGACATGGCCATGAGCTATCGATCATCTCTCATATGATCTGTTGATTATTGCAAAGTTAACTCACAGTGAGATTTTGTAAATCTGGAGCAAGATGCTTTCTGACACTGTTGGTTAAAGCTTCTTGCTTCGCAACGTCTCCTGTGAGCTGCAGATCAATATATCCCCATTTTAGTTGCAATGGGAGAAGCCAAGCAATGATCTTGAGCATAGGAGAGAAAATGGAGCAAAAATAGATACCGTGCTTATCTTGGAAAGCAGCAATTCTGTAATCTTCTTGAGAATCTCGTCCACAAATAGTCTGGATTCTGCAAAAGCATTTGGTTGGGACGTTGTGTTGTTTGGCTTGTCTTTTGCATTTTGATCCCCGCTGCTTGGCTTAGCAGATTTCACTGCATCAGACATATTATGTCAATGCCAATTATATGGCCTGCTATGCATAAAATAAACAACCACTGGACTTGGTACATAACAGAAAGAAAGGAGCAACCCTATCAATCACTTGCAATAGCTCAATTCGCCTCTCAGATGTAGAAGCCTAAACAAGCATATAGTGTGCAGTGTGTCCCATATCTTCAGCAGATGAACTTAAAATTTAGGATTTATTTAAGTGATTTTTTATTTTCACCGTGTGTTTTTGTACTAATTACTTATATTTTCTGGTTGACTTAGTAGGATTGAAGACTTTCCTGCAGTAAAGTCAGCCATTATTGCAGGTACTAGAAAACTCTGGAGAAGACCAACCTTTTTCTCCAACTTGTACCTTTAGAATCGATTACTTACCCTTTCTACATTTCCAATTCATCCTTTCGTTTATCAAACTCGAAAAAAATTTGTCACTACACACCCCTCATGTATTTCGATAATTTCATCTACCCTAAAGAAGAAGGAGGCATTTTAGTGTGCTTTATAGTATTGGTACTATAAAACATTTACAGCCATTAGATCATGTCCAAACTATATCAACCATTAGATTTCATTTAAATTATTATTTTATTATTTTATTTGTGGGTTGTAACCGGTATAACAGGTTGTCTGAAACCAATTACAATCCTTCTTCCTTCGATCCTCTTTCTCACCTCTTTCTCACCGGCGAAACCCTTCCTTCCTTCGATCCTCTCCACGCAGCTAGCGAGCAGTGAAGACGGCGACAGTGAAGACGGCGAGCATTGGGTGACGACGAGTGAAGACGGCGAGCAGTGGGTGACGACGAGTAGAAGAAGCTTGTCGATTGCAGCGATTCGGATTCCAGATTCCGACGACGACAGTGAAGGCGGCGAGCCGGATTCCGACGACCACAGTGAAGGCGGCGAGCAAGGGACGACGAGAGCGAGCATCTCTTCGTCGATTGCAAACGAAGACCCTCTTCCCATCGATAGCAAACTACGACTCTGCACAGAACCCCCTCTTCCCATCGATAGCAAACGAAGACCCTGCACATCCCTCTTCCCATCGATAGCAAACGAAGACCGCTGGCCTACCTCCTCTACCGCAACTTTTTTTGGTTAGTACTATCTTCTTTGTGTTTAGCTTGATAATTAGCTGCAATGGCGGTTCCTGTTGTTCCTTCACTTGTTTTGAAGGAGAATTTGCAGCATTTACCTTCATTTCACCTTGTTTTTGCTGTTGAGGTTGTGCTTGATTTGTCTCCGTTTCAGCAACATCCTTAGAAGGTTGTTGTTGTTGTTGTTCCTCAATCTTCTTCTGTTGAGGAGGAGCATTGGGTTTTTCTGTTGTTAGGGTAGAAGAATTCGAGTCTGAAGAATTCACAGCAGTTGTGGTTGTTGTTGTTGTGGTTGCGGTTGTGGTTGTTGATGTAGTTCTTCCATCTTCTTCGTGGGAGGATTGATATGATATGATATGGTAGATAGAAAGGATGCATCGTTAAACTTTAGTTACTTATAAGACCTATGAATCATCCATGAATGATGAGACATTAAGGTCAAACTTAGTTAGGATATTTAGAGCATGGTTGTGGCTGATCGATATGATGGAGTAGTCTTTGTTGGAATGATGTCGCTGCAAATTATGCATGCTTTGGAATATTCAATCCCTTCAACTCTTCTTGAACCCGGGTCATCTGATGCAGCTGTAGAAGTTATCCAATCTTCTTGATGATGCTTCCTTTGGTGAGGAAGTTTTGGATGGATGTTGTTGTTGTAGTTCTTCCATCTTCTTCGTGGGAGGATTCGAATCGGACGAATTCACAACATTCATTGTTTTTGTGGTTAATGATTCTCCTTTTTGTGGGGAAGCTTTGGTGGTAATGGTGGTGGAGGAAGTCCGTTGTTCTTCATTCTTCTAGGGGGCATTTGTATCGACCGAATTTGTTGCATTCGTTGTTGGGATGTTCTAGATTTACACATTTCGGTAGGGGGATTGAAATTCCATGCTCGTTTTAGGTTTATGAGTTTAATTGGTCATGTCCTTTGACCAGGTTGATGTCCTTGTACTATCTTCTTTGTGTTTAGCTTGATAATTAGCTATATATTGACTGATTTAGTGTCAAAGCAAACTATCAATTCACATATGGGACCTGCTTGTTGATGTCCTGGTATTGGTTTAATTGTGTACCTCATAGATGTAGGTCGATGTTGATCGAAATCCTTCTGAAAGCCATTGTAGTTCATCTTGTAGACCATCTTATTGTTTACACAATTACGAGTGAGTTGGTTGATTCTAAACTTGTCATGATAAGTAGCATGTTCTACTTCTGCTGGTCTATTTTCCTTGGTGTGGCTGTGTCTCCTGTGGGAAGGAACATGTTGTCAATTCCAAAAAGCTTCTTTTCATATGGGCAGAGAGGTCTTTGTCAAAGCAACGTGGTGTAATGTGGTTGTTGGTTGCTCCTCCATTAACCATACAGCCATAGATTTCCTGCTACTAAAGTTCATTGTGAGTTGATTTACACATTGAAGCTTGAAGGGAGGGTTGTGCATGGTTGTGGTTGCCTTGCTGGGTAGTGAACAATTTAATCATGTACCAAAGAGGAAAATGCTTGTCACCAAGAAAACTCACACTTGGTGAAAGAGCCTAGGAAATAGCATGCATGAACCAAGCAAAGATCATGTGTTCTTTATGTGGTTTTCCACCATAGCTAAATGCTATCTCATGAAAATGATATCATAAATTAGTTTTGGAAACTTTTTTTGTTTACTTTTTCATAAATGGAAACTCCATTTCACTTGGAAAACCGGTGTGAGTTGCACGTGTCGAGAGAGCTATTGCCTTGTTGAGTTACATAATCGTCATTCCAAGCATGCGATTCATCTTGTCTTTGTGAGCGCTGGGAGAGGAGTCCTAATCATGTTCCCATTGTGGTTAAGCTAGCAACTATTTGTAGTATGGTTGTTGTGTGGATGTATTCTAGAAAAGGGTAATCGAAGCATTTGTCTTCTGTGATTCTTTGCATGAGCTTTGCATTAGTCTTATGTGATTCTTTGCATTCATTTGAGCTTTTTATTTGCGTTTGAATGCTGGCTCCGTCTACGTTTATGTGATTAGTACTTCAGTTTACTATTAGAGCAAGATTGTGATGCAATTGATAGGTTATGCCGTGATTCTTTTTAAAATTTGTAACTTCCAGGGGGTTTCACGGGTTATATCCCGCCCGGGACAATAAGCCGTGAGATGAGCCGTTAGATTTTTTTGAAAAAGGGGGAGTTCCAGGGGGTTTCACGGGTTGTCTCGCCAGTATCACGGCCGTGAGATGAGCCGTGTTTGTGCAATTGAAATGCTGAACTTCTCACGGCTCATCTGTTAATCTCACGGGCGTGAGATTAACCCGTGAGATGGTCACAGCTGGTTTTGGCGTGATTCACCTAGTGAACCTTACATTCCAGTATTATTGTTCCCAACCATGCGTGATCTCAAAAAAAGTTGCTCCAATCTGACCTAGCTAGCGATTGTGTTCCTTCCTTTATGCATGCCAGTATTAGCTTTTTGATTGGAGAGACTTGATTTGTGTTTTATGGAGGCAAATCGAATAGGAAAGTTCATACTCAAAGTTTGATTCTTTTCAGTTTGGCTTGAGACAAGTTGGATTGTTGGGACTAGGATTGGTAGGTACTGGTGTGGTATTTCAAATGCTGAAAAATGCAGATGCATCATTTCATAGGTGGATCGAGCTTTGGGAGGTTAGAATAGTAGCTTTGATGTACTGATAAGTGACTCCTCTAGTAGCTTTGAAGTACTGAAAAATCAGGGTGTTTTTAGTTTCACGGCTTAGTTTAACGACCGTGATTTTTGAAACCAAAGCCGTGAGATTGTCTGGGATATGAAAACTACTCTTTGCTTCTCACGGGTCATGTCACGGCCGTGAGAATTTGCATTTTGAGTGAAATTTAATGGAAGCTGGGTGTTTTGGGTGAAATTTATATATGCCAATGGCGGATTTCATGGTTAATTAGTGTACTCAGGTGTTGATGTAGGGGGTTTTCATTTCTTCTGGTAGTTAGAACTTGATATCGAGGCAAGTGTGCTTGTGAGCTCTGGTATAGTCTTGTATTTGTTCAATATTGATTAAAGCCATATATTGAAAACCAGGATTGAACTCATTACCTGGAGAATGTGTTTACCGAATGATTAAATGATCCTTTTCTTGAATGAAACTTTGTCATAACCACGTTTTCTCGAATGTGTTTAAGTGTGAAAACTGAAAGTTGCTTCTTTAGATCAGTGGTGGACGACTCTGGCTTTGTGTATTTTGTTAGTACTCTTCGGCATGCTTATAATTCGTGTTTCAAGGCATGCTTATAATTTTTTTGTTGTTTTAATTTTGCAGTTTGCTAAAATTGTTCTATAATGAAGACGAAGAGTCATGAAATTTTTAGCACCCGCTGTTCTCCTAGGAAAGTATTCTCAGTAGTCTCAAATTTAGAGGCTTGTCAATTAGAGGCCATTAAGAGATGTGGCTTTGGTCGTATGCTTGAAGTCAAAGGAAGAATGCTCCAACGTGAGTTGTTGGAGATCCTTTTGAAGAGCTTTAATGTGGAAGAAAGCTCAATTCAGGCTTATGGGTTGAAAGTCCATATTTCGGCCAAAGATTTCGAGCGAATTATGGGCGTGCCTGAGGGAGGTACTGATATCATCTTGAATGGTGAAGAAGTGGGACGAAGATCCGAGGAATTGAATCCATTTAGAGTGTATTCGACAGTTGATTGTGCCCGACAGGCAATTTCGACAAGCTTAATGCGGAAGGCTTTGTCGGAGATGAAAGATAGCGGTGATCTATTTCTTCAAACGTTTATTTTGTACGTAATGGGGGTGCTATTAGTACCAACTAGAAGAGATGACTTTTCGTTATCTTCGGTATACGCTGTCCTCGATGTTGCCGATATTCCGAAGAAGAATTGGGCATCGTTTTGCTTCAATGAATTGGTCAAATGCATCTGCGACCATAATGCTGAGGGGAGAAAGTATATACCGGGTTGCTTGCTGTTCTTGGAGGTAAATAATTGCTAATCCCTACTTTCTACATATTTGTAATGATTAATCATCATGTTGATTATAGTATTTTTTTTTTTTGTAGTTGATCTGTCCGGTATCACCCCAGCTCCAAGGGGAGTTACAAACGTGGAGATCGAAGAGGATGGAATACTCAAAGAGACGTCAAGGGAGAAGTCTGTAAGTCTATATCTTCAAGTATCTTTTCATAAGCTTGTAGTTTTCACAAACAGTATATTATGTTATTGTTCTGTTTATAGGGTTTTGAATTCCTAATTGTGATTAGAATGCTCCTGGGATTAGAATGCTCCTGGTTGGTCTGAATTAGGGTTTTGAATTCCTAATTGTGATTAGAATGCTCCTGGGATTAGAATGCTCCTGGTTTGTTGCATTTTTTTAGGGTGTAGACGTCTCTTTGTGAATTGCATATGCTTATGCATAATTCTTTTCCCTCTCATTCACTAAAGACTTAATGTGCTTAGTTGGTTTTTGTAGGAATGGGGAAAGCTAAACAAAAAACCACGCAACCATCAGCCTCACCTGCTAAAGTGAAGGCTACTTATCGTCGTCGCCGCCAAACCCAAGAACGAGACACTCCCCCCAAACGACAACGCAAAAACAACCAAGGACGAGCACGTCAACCATCTCCACCACCACAAACGGAGGCTCAACTTGGAGGAGGGGGACTTCACGGCTTCCTCCAATTACCCGACAAACATAGGAGGGCTTTAGAGCGCTTCCTTCCCCTCCCATTTGGGCAGCAAAGATGCATTGATTGGGATCTCCTAGAGCGCCTCGGAGCAGCGGACCCCGTTCGCACATGCCTCCGTCTCCCGGCATGGTGTGAGGTTCTCTCCATCAATGAGGTCATCTACCGAGAGCTTACCATTGAGTTCCTCAGCACTCTCTCCATCAAGTTTATGTGCGA